GGAGACTATCTCTTCCAAAGCCCTTTGCTAATAAACATCTTTGAAAAGATAATCTGGAACAAAGAGAGTCCACACCCCTGCTTATGGGATGTACAGAAATAGAAGAGACCCGTGAGAATTATCTCCCAAGAGCACGTGCTGAGAACTATTATTATTAATAGTAATTATACTATGGAGAGTGTACCGATACAATGTAACTTCATTTTTTGTTTTTGGGGGGGTTTTTTGTTTGTTCTGTTTTTTGTTTTTTTGTGACTCTGAGAGAGACAGAAACTATAACAAAGCAAACCAAGACAGGGACTAAAGAAAAGTTGCAAAGACTGATGGCAAGTCTTGGCATATGAGTTAATGTTGAGTGACTAGACTACCAAATGCACTTCACAAATGGGTTTCTGGGGAGAAAAAAACTGCTGTCAGCAATTGATTGTGATATTGGGCAAATGAGTTTGCAATTTCATGCTGAATAATCTATCACTCCATATCTTGGAAACTCAGGCACTCAATCTTTTTTGACAGGCAGCATGTATATTCTATTGCCAGGAAGGAAGGCAATTGTCAAATTCCTAATTTTTCTCTGTGAAAAATTAACATTTAACTCAAATATAAGATCTGGAGGAACACATAAGACCTTAATTACATAGCACAATTCATGATTTGTACTAATTAATAAGCTGATGAAAATTCATTGGAATTCAGAGAAGAATCAAGGGGGAAAACTGGCCAGAGTTAACAGTGAGTTTCTATAAAATGTTTAAGTCTTTCCAAATGGGCAGCCACTCCTCTGTCATAATTATAATTTAATCATTCACAGGACTATTTCATTTTGTAAGACTTTAGTTACACATCAGAAACTTTGCAGAGAGAATATTTCCTTAAACTTTGTGATTTCTGGCAGTTATATTATACTAGCACGTTAGAGATTTTTGCAGAAGACCAGCTCGGCTACCTGAAATATGATTTTTTTTTAAGATGTGAGAGAAAACATTGTTTGAATCCTGGCTTTGCCATTGACTGGCTGTGACTTCCAGCAAGTTCTTTGAGCTCTTTGAGCCTGATCCTTCTGTCCAAGTGGAGGTGATAAGGACGCATGAGGTTATGGTGAAGATGAATGTTATTGCTGTGAATTAATCCCCTCCAGAATCTTAACCAAACCAGACCAGGAACCAGATGGAGATTGAAATGCAGCAACTGGCTTGTTATCAGTACAGCTGGATTAGTTAATAAGGTGGCACTTGGGCTGAAATTGGGCTCCCTTCATCTGCCCTCCTCACCCTGGGACCTGGCTGTGGGGAGGGAGGATCTGCAGAAACACCCAAAAATGTCCCAGGGAGGGTGTGCTGCCTCACACATACCATTTGGGGAGCAGGAAAGACAGCAGCCAATGAGATGCCTGTTTTTTTCTATCCTTCATGTAGAATGTTCTGGCTTCTTAAACATGGGTCGATGCATTCAATCACATTCATTTGTTCGTTTATCCCATAAGTAATTATTGAGAGTGTTCCGAGTTGTTAAGGGTACTTGCAAACCATTTGCAAACTAAATAATGAACCAGGCTTTGGTGCCTGCCTTCATGCAGCTTATAATCTTGCATACAGATGAACATGCAATCAAACCACTACAGTTTTTCACTGGGAATCAGGAGTGGAGATTATATAATAAACATATTTGGAAAACATTTACCAAAAGTACCTGGCCCATACTAAGCACTCTACGTCTTGGTGGCTTCTACTACTACAACTATTAGGAACCAACTTTGTGATTTTTGCCTATCACAATACCACATGGTCTATTAATAATTATTTCTTTAAATCAGCTTCACCAGGCTCCTGAGCAAGTGTCTGTGAAGTTACAGGCTGGAAGGGCTAGCTATGCTTATATGATACACATGAAAATAAAATATGTAATTATTCAAATAAAACCTGATCGTCTGAAGACCTGACACAGTCATCTCCTCTCCCAGCACACATGGAGAAACATTGCTTTATGCGGGGCTTCGATCACATTCCATCTGCCTGCAGGTTTTAAACTGCATGCAGCCAGGCATCAAAACCTGGTTTATGTTTTAGTTTGTAGATAGTTTGCAAGTACCCTTGACAAGTAGTACACCCTCAATAATTGTTTTGGGAAGAATGAATGAATGAATGAATGAATGAATGTAACAATGTATCATCTGATGTTCAGGAAGCCAGAACATTCCATGCAAAGAACAGAAAATAATAGGCAAATTAAGAATTGCAGTGAAGTGCCTTCTGCTTCTCCTCACCTCTGCCTCTGGAATAACTGAACTGACCTGCCCTCCCAATTTTCTCTCTCCCCTGTCAATAAGCAAGCCTCCTGGCTTATTTGGCAGCAAGTTGGATGGGGTTTAGGATGGGATGAATCTTGCAGTTGTAATGAATCAGAAGCAGGGCACAGAAATCAGATCTCAGCCGCAGCAGAATGCTCGCACTGTTTGAAAAGCACTCGTCCCTTAGGCTGGAACAGATTAGAGGCTAATAATTTATGTTGAAATCTTGCAAAGCCCTCCATAAAGTCCTATTGCTGGTCCTTGCCTTTTGACTGACAGATATGAAAATAGAGACTGATTTGAAAACCTAAGGCTATTTAGCTAGAGCAGCATTAATTTCTCCATTAGAAACTAAGAAATGAGAGGGTGGGGAGCCCCAGACACCACAAAGAAACAGATGTTGCCAGTGGAAGGCCACACCTTTTTCCAAATATGAAGCTCACACCAGCTCTTCCGGCCTGAGTTAGCTTTCTGAGCCTCCAGGACCCCAAATTGGCAACAGTAATTTTTGCCCATGCTAGTTAAAATGCCCTTAAGCTACAGTCATTAGATTTGCTGGACAGCGGCATCATTCTGATGTTATCGGCTGTGTCTTCCTGTTTTCATGAATAATGTATAAGAAGGAGCTGTTAGAAATGGATTCTTCCATGGCTGACAGTATCGCCACCAGACAGGTCCCTGAATCCTCAGTCACTTCATGTGCAACACCCACAAATCTCCTTCCAGGCTGCCTGCCATGCCTGGAGAACCTTCCAAAGACACCTTATCTTTCCCTCTAACCTCAAGAGTAAGGAAACTGAGGCAGGGGGGAGACAAGAAGAGGTGCCCACCACCTTCCTTCCTTCTCATTTTTGCTCCGTGTCAGAGGAACAGCAGAGGTACCACTGATGCCAAGTTCATGAGTTTGATTCCTGGCCCTGCCCGGTGAGGGCCAGCCGCCCTTGCTCTGTCTGTGCCCAGACGCCTGCTGGGGAAACGCTTCTCCTGGGGCACCGGTGAGAGCTGAGGACAGCCTCTGCCTGCTAGTTTTTGTCTGTATTTCTCTGTGCTCGCATCTATCATATCGTCACAAAGAAAAGACACATCTTTCAACCCTGCCCCTTCACTCACTCATTCATTCAACATATTTTTATTATCTGCGTGTCTCTAGAGGAGGAGGCATGCAGTAATCAAGGATTATAGAAATGAATAGAAAATATGTATAAAGAAGAGCATCCATTGTGGGTGTATAATAGAGGGAAGTAGCCAAGTCAGGGAAGGCAGTGACGGATGTAAGACTGAGCTAAGTGCTTAAAGACAGGGACCTTAAGTCAGTGGATATAGTCCAGGCAGCAGAGACAGCATGTGCAAAGTCCCTGAAGCAAGAGGGGGAGGGGCCCCCATTGAAGGAGAGGGTGACCTAGGGGCCACAACACAGTTTGCAAATAAGAGCCAGCAATTCTCTGCTGCCTTTGACATCTTATCCACTTTCTCCTTCCCAACAGTCTCCCTCTCCTTTGAAGTCCAAGAATTGCTCAGTCCTGGCTTTTCTCCCCTTCCTGACTGTTCCTACCCTCCCATGTTCATCCACTATTGCCTCTTTTTTTTTTCTTTTTAATGCTCATTTACTTATTTTGAGTGGCACAGAGAGCACGAGCAGGTGAGGGGAAGAGAAAGAGGGAGAGAGAGAATCCTCGTGGGCTGTCAGCGCAGAGCGCGATGCGGGGCTCAATGTCACGAACCCGTGAGACCACAGCCTGAGCTGAAACCAAGAGTCGTATACTTAACAGACTGAGCCACCCAGGCGCCCCCTATCCACTATTGCCTCTTCCCAGTGGGCGCTAACTTAGAACTTTCCCACCCCTCTGTGCCCTGGTGTCAGATGCAGTTCCTGTTATCTAGAAGGAGCCCAGTGACTGTGATGACCACTTCTTGTTCTGAGTCCCAGCTGAGACTTTGAAAGCATCTTGAATACCCGACTCAGGAGTGGTTAAACTGTTAGACCCCCGCTCTAGAGGGTCACGCAGTCATTAGAAGTGATGTTTTGGAACACTAATGACCTTGGAAATTTCTCATGCTATAACATGACTTTAGAGCAGAATATAAAATTAATCCTAAAGCATGATCTCAATTTCTGTGGAAAAGAATACATAGGCAAAGAAAAATATTGGAAACCAATTCATCAACATATTGATAGGGTATCTCTGCAGCTAGAATTATTGGTGGTTTTCATTTCCATTTTCATACTGCTCCATCTTTCCCTCAAATGGGTTAATTAATTGGATTCATAAATAATTTAAATAATTTAACTTAATTGAAATAATAGTCAAGTACTTATTACTTGGCTGATGCTAGGTGGCATTACCAATTCAATGATGGGAAGAACACAAACATGGTCTCTGTCCTAAAGAATTGCTTTTATAGGGGTGCCTGGGCGGCTCAGTCAGTTAAACATCCGACTTCAGCTCAGGTCATGATCTCACAGTTCATGAGTTTGAGACCAGCATCGGGCTCTGAGCTGTCAGCCTGGAGCCTATTTCAGCTTCGGTGTCTCCCTCGCTCTCGGCCCCTCCCCTGCTTGTTCTCTGTCTCTGTCTCTATCTCGAAAATAAATACAACATTTAAAAACTTAAAAAAGAAAGAATTGCTTTTATACATTAAAAATTTTTTTTAAATAAGATGGCTTAAAGACATCACCTTGAGAAAACTACTCAAAAAATGCTTTCTCCTGTAGGTGCCAGTGGGGAGCCTCCATCCAGCAGCGTGTTTATACTCCCAGCCAAGGGTGCTGAGGACTGAACCTTGGTGAGTGTCGATTTGTCATTAGTGCCTGAGGCAATACTCTGGGACTGAGGACTTCTTCCTGTCGGCACCTGTTACTCCGCAGTGGAAACACCTGCGCCCATACCTTATAAAATTTATTCCCCCTTCCCTGGGTGCTTGCAGTCACTTTATTCCAGCCGTCCTGTGGATACATTTCCAGGGATTTTCCTCAAAGATTCTAGATGAAACTGCCTCCTCCCCTTCTGAAGCCTGGTTCCACTACCTGCCACTTCCTAACCATACCCAAAGCAGGGGCTTGTGATCAGACGGCAGCAGAAGCATGAGCCGGAGCGAGCAAGAAGACAGTAGGAGCCCACAGACTCCAGCGAGCTAAGAGTCTGATTGTTTTCATGCAGATTGTTTTTAGCAGTAGGGAGATAAGAGCCAAATGCAAGATGGGCATTAGGCAGAGATTTTCCTAAACCAATGGTAGGGGTGGCGAGTTCTTTACTGAGACCGTAACACATCTTTGAACAGTTACGCTCTCAAGTTCCCATATTTCTTGTCAGGTGGGATAGAATTTCTCTCTCCTCTGGTTGTCTTGTTTCTCTTCCAGCCCAGTAGTCTTTTTTCTTCCTGCTTCTATAACATTCCATCTTAGCCTTGCCTGAAATTGTCCGTTTCAGAACGGCAGGGCTCCTTAATGATGAGAAGCATATCACCTGTGAATGGGTTTCAGTGGTAGACAAAACGAACAACATTAATTCCACTGGTCATCTATTGTAACGCACGTAGGGAAAACCGTGTCTGGCGCATCAAAGCTAGGATTTTATTCCAGACTATAGCAGCCTGTTTTAAAAAGTAAGTTCATATAGAGCCAATAAAGAGAAAAAAATGTTAAATAAATTGTGATGCGTGGGGCATGCAAATGTGGTAAAATCGGTGAAGTAGTGCAAGCATGTGTGACCGTTGGAAAACACGAGGGGAATTCTGCAGCAAATCCAAGGCATCTCCTGGTTTGTTACATACAGTAAGTCAGATGCAGACATTTGCACTAATTCTGGATCCTGGATAAACATTTACAGTTCTGAATCCCAGAACCTCCTGAGGTCTAAGATCTGAGTTCTCAAGCCGGTAGACTTTGTCCCCATCAGGGAAAGGTATTTTGTTTTAAAAATCAGGACATCTCACGCAAAAATGCAAGTGTATTGTCCTCTTTAAGAATTATACGTTCTGGCACACTGGGTCTATGTCCCTGCATGGCGGTAATCAGGTGACCACAGGCCTCAGGCATCACTGTTCTAAGACACAAGGTCCTTTTGGTGCACTTCTGTTACTGGGGCTGCCCCAGGACAAAGGGGAAGAAGAGGGTTCCCTTCTGCAAGGTTTCTTTTCTGTTGCTTCTCAGCCTTCTCTTTCTTCTCTCTCTTCTCCTCCCTAGCAATCCGATCCACCCATACACACACTCATAAATACACCTCCAGGAAATGGCTGTAAGGATAAAACTTCTGTCTTCTCCCACTGATTCCCCTGGCCATCCTTGCCTGAATGATGGCCCAGATTCACTGATAATTCCCAGCTTGATGACTCATTGCCTTTTAGCCATATGATTGGCACAAGATCACTTGAAACTGCCTTATATGTTATTTTTGTGTTGGACACGTGGTGGGGGTAAAAATTCCATTTTCTTCCACTTCTATGGCATAAGGAAAAGGACACACGATTTGGAGACAGGTTGTCTAGTTCAAATCCTGATTCTGTCATTTGCTGGCTATGTGGTCTTAGGAAAGTCATTTATCTTCTCTGTACCTCGACTGTAAAATGGGGATAGTAGCATCTATTGCACAGGATTGGTACAAAGATTAAATGAATGGGGGCCTGTGAGGGGCTCAGTCTGTTAAGTGTCTGACTCTTGGTTTTGGCTCAGGTCATGATCTCAGTTTGTGAAATCAAGCCACGGGTTGGGCTCTGTGCTGTCAGCTTGGGATTCTCTCTCCTTCTCTCTGCCTCTTCCCCTCCCCCACATGAGTGCACATGCACTCTCTCTCAAAAATAAACATTTATTAAAAAAGATTAAATGATGGAATAAAGTGCTTAAAATAGAGCCCGGAACACAATAAGGGTGGTAAACATGTGGACATATTTTATGAGTAATAGTCTTCCATTCTGTGAACTGCCATTGGGATGAGCTCTCTGTACCCTAGACATGATACTATTAGCCATATTTCTTTATCCAGCACTGACTGATTGCTGTCACAGAAGTGCCAGGCACTACACTGAGCATTAGAAACACAAAAAAATAAGAAAGCGTCTTCACCTTTGAAAAAGCTTTCTATCCTTAGTTGATTTGGAATCTAAGGTTAGACTAAATAAATATCATAGGACAATTGTTTAAATAATTATAAGGTTCAATTAAGCAAATATCATATGGTAATTATTTAAATAAGCAGGAGGCTCACGGAGAACAAAGAATTGAATTATTCTAGATGCAGTCTCCCGAAGAGTTAAGAGACAAATTGGCATCTTGAAGATACTCCTACTACCTGAACTTATGACCAGAAGAGATTAGTAGAGGCAATCACAGGAAGATGACTAATAGTGTGTGGGACACATACACACACACACACACACACACACACTCGCGCGCGTGCGCGCGGGCTGGGCTTGGGACTGTGAGGGGACTAGATCCAGATTCAGAGCAGATCCATCTAGTTCTGTTTCTTTGTGTGATTTAAAATTAACTGAACTCCCTCTACCTCAGTATCCCCATTATAATGGAAGCGTGTTACATCTTTTCTCATTTGTATTGAAGTCCTTTATGAGACTCAGGGTGACATACATCTGCTAGGTGGTCGCCCCATAAAGAATGCACAGTCTGGGGTGGGGCAGAGCTGGCCAACTCCAGAGGCAGCTGCAAGTCCTTCTGCAATTGATATCTCAATCAACAACCAGTGATTTGTTAATTAACATATTGAATATCAGAATTTTTGTTGTTGCTGAAATTAGTGACTTGTTAATTTGCATAAGGCACGTTAGAAACAACTTTCATCAAAGACAGTCAAGGCGTGCGATTCGGCTAAAATGGTTCAGAGACAGCTCCACCCCCAACCCCCCATTCCGCCCCCTCCACACACACACCTGGAATGATTAGGGAATAAGAATCCAGCCAGGCCCTAAGTCCTGGTGCTGCGCCTGAGGCTTGACCCCTAGTCAGTCTCTGGCCGCTGGCTTAGGGGATTTCTGATGGCACGAAGCCTGCTGGGAACAGTGTCCTGCCTCAGAAACTAAAAAGGACGGAGAGCTGGTACTTTATCAGGATTGTTTCATCAAGGTTTCATGCCACTGTGGCTAAAGAAATTCTGTCTAAAAGTGGAAACATGGCAGAATTTGGCTTGAAACTTGCCTCAGTTCAGCCAGCACATGAGATTTGGGGGAAGACCCAGCATCACCACCTGAGGCTCTCTCATGGCCGCTGTTAACATCCAAAGAAGACCTAAGTGCTGAGCCTGACCACACTGGTCTAGGTCTGTTCCCAAGAAGGGCTGGGGCTCCATGGGCTCCAGGGCCCTGCCCAGATGACCTCTCAGATCTTCTGGTGCTTCTCTTCCCACCCAACCCTAATAGGTGGGTCCTGAAAGGCTCACGGGTGTGCCAGCAGTTGGCTGGTGTCTCCAGGAGACTGGCATTGAAGGAGAGCTCTCTCTCTGGTTTTCATCTGGTTTTAGAAAGCTTTCCGTTTCCTCCTGGCTGTTCCCAAGGGTTCAAGAAAGATCCTCACTCTCCTTGCTACCACTACGAAGTCCCATCCAGGACTTCCATACTCTAGTTTTACCTAGAGAGTGACTCCCATCAGTGTCTCCCAATCTACCTCCAGGCTGAGTCAGAGGGAGGAGTCGAGGCAGGCCAGAAAGAATACAGATATATTCTAGCTTTCCCAGGCCTGGTGCACTACCATTAGAATGCTGTTCTCTGACTGAAATCTGGCCACATCACAGAAAAGGTTAACATCTGTCGACCTCTCAGAAGTTCTAGAGCAGTACTGTCCAATAGAACTTTCCACATCGATGAGCATGTTCTCTATCAGCACTATCCAATATGGCAGCCACTCTCCACACACAGCCATTAAGCATTAGAAATGTGACTAGTGTGGCTGAAGAACTGAATTTCAAATTTTATTTCATTGTGATTCATTAAATAGCCACATGTGGCCAGTGGCTACCTTATTGGAAAGCATAGCCTGGAGCTCTCTCCCCAGCCCTCAGTAGCTTATGTCCAGCCTGAACCAGTCTGATCTTACTGCCAGCCTCTGTCTCCCAATCTCTTATCATGAGCTGAGTGACCTGGCTCTCTCTCCTTACTTCAGCTCTCTGGAGTGTTCTGGGTTGGGCTGTGAAAAGGAAAGAAAGAACCCAGTGCTTTTCAAACACTCTCGCTGCAGAGACAGATAAGAGATTAGGCCTCCAGGAAATAGGATATTTAAAGATATATACTATTTGGCACTAATGAATCTAGTGGTGCTATTTATAGTAAATGTATATACGTGTGAATATAAATACATCATCACAGTGCATCCTGCATGTAAGGCAAGTAGAGCAAGAATTAGACTCCCCATTTCAAGGATGAGAAAACTGAAGGCCAGTTCCGCTGATGGGAACACACAGCAGGGAATGATAGAGCGGGGATCAGAACCAGGTGTTTTGACCCCTCACTTCTCACCCCTGGGATATTTGAATCAGTCCCAATTAGAGAAGGAACACAAGTGGAAGAAGAGAGAAAAGCATATCACCCCAACAGATGGACAGCGTCTTAAATGGGTCTTTTTCCTTTTAGACCTGCAGAGAGTCAGACTGGATATATTGTATACTGTTTCATTCTGTAGTGTAAGAGAAGCCCACATGAGTCAGAATTTAAGTGGGCATCCGCCCTCCGGGGCCTCCAGGGAGCCATCTTGATCCCTCTTGCATTCTTACTGTTTTCTCAGGGATCTTATTAGCAAATCACTTCCTAGCAGGTTCTCTGCCCTTTGCACAACTCCACAGGGTGCCTTCCTTTACCATACACTATGCAGCACAGTGGTGTTGCTCTAATGGATGACTTTATTCCTGAACGAGCAAACTAGGTTTCTTTCCTTCTGCTTCAGTTAAATTCATTTTCACATTATTTTTCTTGGGTGTTTCACTTAAGCACATGTTAGGCGAAGGATTCACAACCTTGGCTATGTATCTGAATTTGTGGTACTTTTTAAAAAATAATAATTCCGGGTTTAATCCCTTGAGAAACGGGGGGTGGGGGGTGGGCCGGGCAGCTGCAGTGTCTCAAAGTTCCCCCAGATGATCCCAACACTGAGCGCTGAGACTCCTAGAACACTGGACCAGGAATCAGGACACTCACGTTTCCCACGCGCGAGCCTCCCCAGGCCTGTTTCCTGTTCTGTAAAAGGAGAGAGATGAGGTCTGCCCTACTTTGATTAGTTTTCAGCGCGAGAGTTTGTACGAAAGAATTTTGACAAGTAATCTGTGTATTTGCGGTAATGGGGACCTGGTGGCCAGCGGTCGGGCCCCACCTGCAAACGGGCCAAGGATTCAATCAGTCGGTGACATTTCTGCATGGGTTCTCATGGCCTGCTTGCCTCCATCACACCATGCTAAAAACGGGCAGAGGGTGGGTGGAGCTCAAAATACTTTAACTAGAGTGTAATTGTGTGGGCAGCTTCCATTCAGCTAGGTAATTCTGGACAAATGGAAGCTCGCCTGCATGATGCTATATTTATTTCCAAAATAGCTGGTGAGAGCCCCTAGGAATTTCAGACATAC